CCACTATGCAGTGGAAATGCACTCACTATCAAACTTACTTCATTGTTAATTTTGTAATTTTGTCAAATATTTTTTCTTAATTACACATCTTGTTGTGATGTTTCTTTTATTTCATAAGTTAACATTGCAAAGTTAAATGGTTTTAGACTAAGTTTTTTTTTCTGCAGTCAAAGAATGTAAAATAAATTAAGTATTTCAGTGATTTCTCTCATTTTAAGGAATATTCTTCATAACGAATTTTCTTCAAAACAATCATATGAATATAATGAATAGCTATTCTCTTTAAAACAAATTTTTCATAAAAAAATGTTTATTTCATAAGTTAACATTGCAAAGTTAAATGGTTTTAGACTAAGTTTTTTTTTCTGCAGTCAATGTAAAATGTAATTTTGAATGTAAAATAAATTAAGTATTTCAGTGATTTCTCTCATTTTAAGGAATATTCTTCATAACGAATTTTCTTCAAAACAATCATATGAATATAATGAATAGCTATTCTCTTTAAAACAAATTTTTCATAAAAATTTTTTTAAAAATGCTAAAGAGTCACGAGCATGCGCAGCTTTTGCATAGCGATCGTCTGCAAGCTGTGACATTGACATAAATAAAACAGAAACAAAAACTTTGACAAACTAACTATGGCTAAAAATCAGATCCAGCCATAGGCCTATACGTTCGATCCAGAATCGGATCCTGACTACTTCTGTAACCCAAATGAAGCACGTTGATGGGCAGCTCTTGCTCTCGCTCTGGTTGATGTGTGCACGCGCTCTTTCGGGAGAGGTGCCCATACAAGGATTTGCACCCTTTATGACGTCATACAGGGCCATACTCAAAAAAACTTTCCGAAACTTATAGGAACCCTGAAGGAGTGTCTTTGGCACAGAAATACTCCATCTAGTGTTGTAAAAAGCCCCGGTACTTTGGTACCAAGTCAGTACTAAAAAATAAAAACGTTATGGTACCAGGTTTTTTAAAGTACCGGTGGTACCGAGTACCTGGTCAACCCGGTTCTTGATACGATATCCGAAAGCTATCCTCTTCATTAAAGCACTGAGACATGGCAACCTCAAGAGGAGGAAACGCATCAAACTAACAAAACACTTTAAAGACCAACACCTGGATGAAAGAGTTAAAGTAGGTAAGTTTAATTTTTATTTTTAATATTTAGATCTTCTGTTATGAATATTATTGCATATTTTAATTTGAATGTCGGATTGAAATAAACATCGCCGTTAACGTAGTTAATCGTTAGCATAAGTGAGGCTGTTTCCCATACATTGATTTACTGACTGCCACAAATAGATTTTCAAAAAGGCTTTGACTTCGTTGAATTAACATGAGCACTGCACGTTTCAAAGTCATTTTTATATCGCTGTATTTCTGAAGGAATCCGACTGTCTTCAGAAAATTGGATGTCATTTTCATTTCTTCTTGCCTGTAATGCCTGAGCAGCGTTTGTGAGCGGGAGCGCTACTTTGTGTACAGCGGTTACCGGGGAAACCTGGATCTCTCCTGCTCTACAAGCGCCTCCTGCTGGCAGAGAATGAATTTGCATATATATGCCACCACAAATAGAGTGCAAGTTTGTGGGAAACACTGATGAGCCTTAGAATGAAGATTCTTTATTAACTGTTTAATGCTCCTATAACTTTTATTACGGTAAAAAAAAAAAAACGGGAGGACGTGATGTTATTTATTATTTTTACACACCAGAGGTTTATAAATGACTTGTGAATCTAAAATATGCGTGTTAGAGAATGTACAAATGGTTAACATTGTCATCTCAGTCCGTCATAAAAGCAGTTCTGGGCTTTTTTAAATTTTATTTAGCTAACTTAGTTGTTATTCTTGGCTGGATAACTCTAGCAGGTTTAAAAGTCCTTTAAAGTTAAAAAATGACCACATTTTGGATAAATGAAAGTATAGTCAAATTTTTATCTCCTGTATAGACTTTACAATAAGATACCATTCATTAACATGACTTCATATTATTATCATTTAACTTACAGTGAGTGAACAATACAATTTTTACAACATTAATTAATGTTTTTGAATGTTATTTAATACAAACACTTGATCATTCATGTTTGTTCATTGTGCATTAAATAATTTTAACAGATTGAACTTGAAGCTAAGCTAAGCTAAGAAGAATAATTGCTATAACTATTTTTATTGATAGGTCATGTTATCTAACAAATGTAATCTTATTGTAAAGTGTTTTTAATACTACAGTTTCCATCCATTTGATATACAATGGACTTAAAATATATGTATCTTATCTAAATTTATTATAAAAGCAGAGGTTTGTTATTTACTGAAAAGTTATATTATAGCTGTTGTCAATGATCTAATGTTGCATTTGGTCAGACTCAGCCCATTGCTTTACTTAAGTTTATTATATTTTCCTTTTACAGCTGCAGGCTGAGGAAGATCATGAAACACACCAGCAAACCCTAAAACAGACAACCGTTTACAGTTGTTTTTCGGCAGCAGCAAAAATATGACAAAAACTTTTGGGTGAAACTTAAAAAACAGATGAAACACAATTTTAAACAAGTATAAAGAATGGCATTGATTTTTGTACATTTTATTTTTGTTTGAATTTATTAATAAAAATTATGTGTTTTTAATTAGCATGTTTTTGTGTTTTGCTTTGGTACCGAAATTGGTACCGAGAACCGTGGATTTTCACTGGTATTGGTACCGAATACAGAAATTTTGGTATTCAACACTAACTCCATCATAAGTCTAACTCATTTTTTTAGATTTTGGTCATGTTTAGTATGAGAATCCAACACTTTAGCAGTGCATTTAAAGTCAAAATGCATAAAATAGCATTAGACACCCCCTTTAAGCACAAAAAAAGAAAAAAGAAAAAAAAAAGTAAAACAAACCTTTAAAGTTTCAATAATTAAATAAAGCACAGGTGTTGCCCTCAGTGTAGTCATTGGTGGGCGGAAGCGTGGGTAGACCATATAATCAGATACTGGGATTTTATATTTATTTATTTAATTTTTTTCCCCCTGGACAAATTGCACAGCATATAAATACTGCCAAATGTATGTTGACGTCCCTGTTTGTTTTTGGTACAAGATCTTGCACAGTTAAGTTATTGTGAGATTTATTTATTTCTTCTTATTATTAGTGTTTATTTTATTTATGTTTTGGTTCACCAGAATTTGTCCAGTCATGATTTGCCAGTCGTTAAGCGTGTTGTGGACTGACTCAGTCATTAGGTTTGTGCTCCTCTCTGTCTGTCAAACTAGAATCTTCTCCAGTCAATGGAAACAGTCTTTTAATGTGTTGAGTTCAGTCTTAGGATGTTTCAGCTATTTGAGTAGCGTGTCCCCAGCTATAGTCTGTTTATATGAATTAACCAGGGTAAGGCTAAAAGCAGCCAAATGTATTAAACATTATAAACCCCTCTTTTTATATAACGTTCCCTTTCCACTGTTATTCGAACAGCGAATAAATTATATATAGAAAGTGACATTACCACTAACATTGATCTATAGCGAGTTTAAGCACTCTCAAAAAAATTAAACTATCGTTATAATCACTGAAGCTGTATACACTGTTAAATGAATCTCTTACTTACATTGTACGTACATCTGCGCTTTGTTGTTTATGATGAGAGAATTCGCAAGAGTCCGGAATTGCGCGTGCACTCAACAAAACCGATGAGTTTAAACGATGACTCATCTGGACGCTTCTGATTGGCCATTGCATTCCTAAGCTCAATACATATGTGTGTAATTGGTTAAAATGCGCAACACTGTAAAAACGCCTAAAATGAAACACGGTGCAACATGAGCAGATCTTAATTTAATGCCGCAATCGACACTGTCTATTCATATTCACTTTGTTAGCAACTGACGTAATAGATATGCCTTCCCCAGCCGTACACACGCTCTGCCTATGTTTATAGCATACAGGCAGTGGCAATAAATATGATGCCCAATATAATGGAAATAAACAGGTCAGTTGCAATTTTAGCAATATTGTTCAGAATTCTGGCATGTGGATAAGACAATCCAACAATTAAACAAACGCCAATCCACTGGATTTTTTTTTAATCCATTGCATTTGTACTGTTGTTTTAAAAGTCCCTTCCTCTCGAATGATGTACATTGATGTGTTTTGTCATAATGTTTTATATACTGTATATATATATATATATATATATATATATATATATATATGCCTATATGTATATTGTATAGATAGATAGATAGATAGATAGATAGATAGATAGATAGATAGATAGATAGATAGATAGATAGATAGATATTCCTTAAATCCCCTCCTCTGTTTCATAAATTCAGAAATGAATTAAAACATTTCTTATAAGACCTTACAAAAATTAAGTCAAAATATTTTTTACTTTTTTTATTTGATCATGCTCTGATGTTTTGAGGCTTAAGTGTGAGTGTCTTGTTGTAAATTGACTGTTTATGCTATTCTGATGTATTCATGTTTTGTTTTAATAAAAAGGATGCAAAGTAATACTGTAAACACAGGGAAAACCTATGAAATGAGTGATAATTATAATAGAATTTGATTGATTAATTGACTGTAGAAATTATTTCCTAATAGTTCCTAGCAAGTTTTGCAGTCAAAAAGTTATTCCAAATCAGCTGGAGACATGGCAAAAATGGCGACATCTGCTCAAAAACAGTATGTGGTTTATTTAATTCACTCATATGTTTCATTAAGTGTGATATTGTTATGAACTAATATGATTGAAATCTTTCAAAATTGCAAAGTTGAATGATTCGTCCAATAAATAAAGACAGGACATGTCCTGCCAAACAGGAAGGATACAATTCATTATTTATATACTAAAATATTTCATATCCCATTCACAGCTCTCTAAATAATCACATTATGATCATATGTGTAATTTGTTAATTTGCAATGCTTTTAAAAATATTTTTAGTCTGCAACTGTCATCTTTTCAAGACTATAACATGAAAAAAAACACTGACCATCTGCTGACTTCATCTGTGGGTTTTTATTATGAATTTTTTGAACAGATTATTTCTTCAGACGGTTTTCAATAACAATCAATCCATATAATCCATGTCATTGTGTCTATAAGTATAGTTAATTGTCCCAATGGTAACCATTGTAATAGTATAGCTTATTAATGCAAATTTATCCATTCTTAATATCACACTGCAAAAACAACAGGCCTTTATTTACTGACAGGTTTCCACTGTACACTAACACAGACAGAGAAATAGTCACGGGGAAAAGAGAGGTGGAGTGCGAGCTGGAAGGAGGAAGGGGTGGCACAGTTGTACATTCAGAAACCAAAAAAGCAGTGGCAGTATCTAAAGAGTGTACGGATAGAGAAAGGACAGGGGAGAAAAGATAGAGGGAGGATGATGGCGGAGGTGAAAGTGTTCTAGGCATAACATTAATGTGCCTTTCTGTTCCACTGTGAATCAGATATTAACAAGTTTTTAAATTACATAATTGAACACACAAATAAATAGACATTCATCAAGCCAATCATTATCGCTCTTATTACTAATATTATTATTGTCATTATCACTGTATATTACCAAGAGATATTAGAAAAAAATACCTAGCCTATCTGAAAGTGCAAAGACTGAAAATGAACAAAAATAATGGAACAACAAAAAATGATAATAATAGTAGTCATTTGTATTTACATACATTTAAGTACAATCAAAACTGCCCAGGTTGAGCTAACATTCTGATACAGCAGAGGGCATTGCACTGTACTGTGTTTTTCATGAGGTTGTGAGAAGAGGTGCACAGAAGTGTCTGTATGTGTGTGTGTGTGTGTGTGTGTGTGTGCATTGTGATGCTTAAAAGAAAGCACTTGCATACCTAGCTGTAGTCTATCACTATTACGAAACACCTTTACTGACTAGTCCTCTATATCTGTACATGTGAATTTGCTCAAGGAATGTATCAAGAGACAGATTGTGCAGAGGAAATACAGCTTCTGAAGTTGTTTTGTACTCGGTGTACTGGGCACTAGACATTATATTAATTACAAAAGGCTGTAATTTGAAACATTCAGAGTCAATTAGCTGATATGAGTTGACAATTAGTGTTTTCATTATGTTCGATACAGTGTTGTGAGCACATCAATTGGAAAGGTTGTAGGATGAATGAACATATAATTGTGCCATTAATAAATATTGGGATCTGGGTTGAGAGTGGCAAAGAGGGAATGCGTTGTGCATTGTGGGAGCGTACATTCCAGAGAGAAGCATTGCATTCACAGGGGCTGAGATCCTATAATTGTGTCACTGGTGTGTTAGACAATATTCATTTTCTTTGATGGTGCATCTGTGTGTGTGTGTGGTTGTATATTCCTGTATTTTAAATGAGTGGGTGGTGTTTTAGTATGTGGGTGTGGTTAATTGGCTCAGTAGCGTCTGGGGGCGGAGTCTCTTCCCTCCTTCTTGATGATGATTCGTTGGTCATCACTGGTATCATCTGGTGAATCCACAACTTCTTCCTCTTCGTCACACTCTCCTTCCATATCTGTTGCAATTCCCATGCGGTTCTCATATGTCTGAGAGAGAAAATAACAAGAAAGATGTGTATAAGATACCACACACATTAGTAAGAATGCTGATACACTACCATTCAAAAGTTTGGGGTCAGTAGGATTATTTATTTTTTAAAATGATTTAATACTTTAATTCAGCAAGGGTGCATTAAATTGATCAAAAGTGACACTAAAGACATTATAATGCTACAAAAAATTATATTTCAAATAAACGCTGTTCTTTTGAATTTTTTATTCATCAAAGATTCCTGGAGAAAATGTATCAGACAGCACAACTTTACTCAACACTAATAATAAGAAGAAATGAGCACCAAATCAACATGTTAGAATGACTTCTGAGGGATCATGTGACACTGAAGACTGGAGTAATGGCTGCTGAAAATGTATCATTGCCAACACAGGAATATATTACATTTTAAAATATATTCAAACAGAAAACAGTTATTAAAAGTGATAATAATATTTCACATTGTGTTTTTGATCAAACAAATGCTGCCTTGGTGAGCATTAGAGACTTTTCAAAATCATTGAGAAAATTACCGACCCCAAACTTTTGAACAGTACTATCTACTTTAGTATTTATACCTCCATTGGATTCACAATGATGTTGAGGGCCGAATCGTCCCATTGGCTACTGCCCTCTTTGCCTCCACCTCTTGCTCCTTCACTACGGCGGTGGATGGAACGGATGCGGAAGACACCAAGAATCACCATGACAACCAAGAAACCCACGCACACCATGATGATGACAGTTGCGGCTCCTGGAACAACTGTACGCATGAGGAGAGAGAAACATCATGTTTATTCTTTATATTTCATAATTTTTTAATACTGACCTTAGTTTTAAATTTATTTTGCCTATGAGATGAAAAATTAGATATACTGATAAATATTTGTGTTTATATATGTCAAACATGTACCTGAGTTGCGGTGTGGGTTAGGGAGTGTGTGTCCACTCAGTTCTCCAGTGTGATGGGATGGGTGGAGGAACTGCTGCTGAGATGCCAGCAGGTGAGACGGATGGTACAGACTGTCCAGAGAGTGCAGGAAGTTCACCTGAGCAAGTGTAGGAGAAAACCAGACAAAGACAGTGAGAGTGTGTGTTCATTAAGAGTCTGGACTTTCAGTGGTATTCTTGGTCAGGAAGTGTGTGTGTACTGGGTTAGTGTGCTGAAGGATCCACATCAGTGTCCTGTGTTCAGTGGTGTTCAATACCTCCAGCGTGAGCTCGTTGCTGGTGTACCGGCCACAGAGATGAATCAGAAGATGGTAGAGTCGGCAGCGCGGTGGTCCAATTGGTTGCAGGAGATGGAGGTGGAAGGAGGTCGACTTCACCCCTCACAGCACCTGAAAACATTAAAAGCCAACACATTATTGATTAAAAGCAGGGCTGGTGTCAGCAAGATCAGCAAGAACTATAGAATTATTGAGTACACCCTAATTTGAAGAGATTTTCATCCTGCAGCTAATCTAAAGAGAATGGAATGATTTGGGACATTTTCCCATCTGCTCTAAAAGAGATAAAGAGTTGGGCAACAAAGACCGAAACAGATAAACTCCAAGTCCTCAATTTTCCGTTCACTAATCATCTCTAATCCTAATGAACAAGGATCTGCTATCATCCAATTAAAACCGTAGACAATTTATCGAAGAAATAAAAAATTCAGGAATCAACACCATTAAACAAACGTACCACAGAGTCTGCGCACAGATCGATCTGAGTAGCTGTCCCTGTCACAGCCCTTCCCAATATGACCCGTTTGAAGCTCAACAGTAGCCTGGATGTTCCAAACCGTCTCCTCGCATGCTTCCAAGTGCAGGTTCGGGAAGAGAGGGATACTGCCAGAACCAGGAGTATACTCAATGCGCTTTGTCCATCCTGTAATTCAAATACATACAAATATAATTACATCAAATAACATGGAATGTAGCATAACATGAGTTTTCAATTTAGATTAATTCCCAGTCAAATTTTTATAAAAAGCAAATGATAATGTTTTTTTTTCATAAGAATAAATCAATACAATTTTATAAAAAAATTAATTGATTTAATAAATAATAAATAAATAAAATAAAACAACAGTACATTGTAAAAATAATTACCAATCCAGCCTGGCTTGCAGGAAGGTTTTACTGTGACTATGACCTGAGCATCAGCCTGAGCTCGATTCTTCCCACAGTCAAACGCTGTCACCCAGAAACTGTGGACACGCTGGCGTTTAGAGTCCAGTGGCTCAGTGTTCTTTATGTTCCCTGAATTTGTAAGCGATAGAGAGAAGTTTGTACGCTCACCAGCCATTTTATTAGGTATGCATGTTCAACTGCTCATTAATACAAAAATCTAATCAGCCAATCACATGGCATTTAGGCATGTAGACATAGTCAAGACAATCTGGTTAAAGGGGTCATATGATGTTGCTAAAAAAAACATTATTTGGTGTATTTGGTGTAATAAAACGTGGAACACTTAACACTACTATACATTTATTTATTTAACACACATACTTTTTTACATTTCAAATTTGCACATATCATACCTGTACATACATAATTGTATTATATATTGTGTTTTTACTTTTTTTTTACATTGTCTATTTTGTATATTTGTATATTATTCTTTTTTTATCTATGTCCTGTCTTGTCACTGTCATTCTGTTGCACTGTGGAGCTTCTGTCACTAAAACAAATTCCTCGTATATGTGTAAACATACCTGGTAATAAAGCTCATTCTGATTCTGATTCTGAAATGTGTTTATGCAGTTTAAGGTTAAAAAAAACACATTATTTTCCACATACTGTACATTATTGTTTCTTCTCTATGCCCCGCCTTTCTGAAACGCGTCGATTTTTACAAAGCTCATCGTTCTGAAAAGCGAGGTGTGCTCTGATTGGCCAGCTATCCAGTGCGTTGTGATTGGCCGAATACCTCAAGCGCGTGATGGAAATGTTACGCCCCTTACCATACTGTGATGCTGTGTCCCGGGTCGGAGCGACAAGACAAAAACATTAAAACCTATTATAAACGAGGCATTTGTTGCATCCAGTGGGGACATAATTACAGATTATAATGACTTATACTGTCTTTTTATGCGTTGCGTTGCATCATGTAGCGTAAACATAAAACCAAGTCTGCATTTGTGATCGGAGAAATGACAAACAACAAGCGCTACTCTACACTGCTCAAAACTCGCGTTTGAATCGTCAGTGGCAAATTCTTTAAATATAAAAAACTTACTTACAGTCTGTGAGTCAGAACAGCCGGCATTGTAGTCTACTCTACCAGGATCAGGAAACAGTCCTCCATAAAATGTGCTGCACACATCTGAATATCTGGGTTGAACTGTTCTGGAACAGTGTTGTAAATACAACTTATCCACTGATTTCTAGTCGTGTCCTCTTTTGGAAGGTCAAACAAAGTATTTTCGCTTTCACAACGAAACACACAGCGCCTTCATGACATGGCAGCGGCGGCAACAACAATACTACAGCGAGAATAAAAGTTACGCCTCCTTTCTTTGCGTGAACATTTGGGCGGCGTTATGCAAATCTTCCCACATCGTAACGTAGATATGTGGGGGCGTGTTAGAACAAGCCATTTTAGGTAGGCGGGGGTGACTCTTAATTTTATAAAGAATATCTTTTTGGATTTGAGACTTTAGTCTTTGCAACTTTACAGAACTTCATATGACCCCTTTAAGTTCAAAGAATCAGAATGGGGAAAAAAGGTGATTTAAGTTACATTTTTTAAGTGATCAGTTTTTCACACATCTCTAGGGTTTACAGAGAATGGTCCGAGAAAGAGAAAATACCCAGTGTGTGGCAGCTCTGCGGGCAAAAATGCCTTGTTGATGTCAGAGGTCAGAGGAGAATGGCCAGACTGATTTGAGCTGAGGGAAAGGCAACAGTAACTCAAATAGCCACTCCTACAAATGAAGTACGCAGAAGAGCATCTATGAACGCACAACATGTTGGACCTTGAAGCAGATAGGCTACTGCAGCAGAAGACCACACCGGGTGATACTCCGGTCAGTTAAGAACAGGAAACTGAGGCTACAATTTGCATGGGCTCACCAACATTGGACAATAGAATATTGGAAAAAGGTTGCCTGGTCTGATGATTCTTGATTTCTACTGAGACATTCAGATGGTAGGGCAGAATTTGGCGTAAACAACATGAAAGCATGGATCCATCCTGTCTTTTATCAATGGTTCAGGCTGCAGCTGGTGGTGTAATGGTGTGGGGGATATTTTCTTGCCACACTTTGGGCTCCTTAGTACCAGTTGAGCATCATTTAAATACCACAGCCTACCTGAGTATTGTTGCTGACCATCTCCATCCCTTTATGACCACAATGTACCATCTTGTGATGGCTACTTCCAACTAGATAACATGCCATGTCACAAAGCTCAAACCATCTCAAACTGCTTTCTTGAACATGACAGTTGTGTTTAATTTACTCAAATGGCCTCCACAGTCACTGGATCTCAATCCAATAGAGCACCATTGGGATGTGGTGAAACGGGAGATTCGCATCATGGATGTGCAGTCGACAAATCTGCAACAACTGCGTGATGCTATGATGTCAACTTGGACCAAAATCTCTGAGGATGTTTTCAGCACCTTGCTGAATCTATGCTACGAAACGTTAAAGGTGGTTCTGAAGAGAAAATGTGGTCTAACCCGGTACTAGCAAGGTCTGCCTAATAAAGAGGCCGGTGGGTGTATATCGGGCGAAATAAGTACAGAGCATGCTAAAAAAAAATTAAAGCCAGAAGCTTTGGTCAAACAGTCTCAGACTGTAAATAATAAAGCAGATTTAATACTATCAGGGACACTGAGAATATGATAAAGAAACCAAAAGCAGCTCAAAATGAGAAATGCGAGAAAAAAACAAACAAAGCAATGAAAGATGACAGGGATGGGTGAAGGCCAACAGAGGACTGAAGGAGAGAGAGAGAGAGTAAAAGAACGATATTGAAGTGGCACAATAAATAAAAGGATATTCACACCGCGGTGTCTGGTTCAGCCTGACCCAAATTACGAAAGGAAACCACACACACTACAGCAGAAAAATCTGCAAATTCATGGCTAAAAAGAGTACCTCTCTCCCTTGTTTGGCTTGCTCATTGTATCTTTCTCCCTTGTTTTGGTTTCTTTCCGTTGGCCAGTTCCTTCTTTATCAGCATTTGACATGTTACAAAACGTTGGCCATTGATCTCTTCCCCCTCAGTCTGTCAATGGGTGCTCTGATCTGCATTGAATGTTCAGGAATGGTGACTATCCCTCCATCTCACTTCAGCAACTGGGCTGTTCAGAGAGTTGCCCTAAAAGCCAGCTTAACATTGACATGCCGCCTCATTTTTTAATTATATGCAACAATTATAATGATTAAATTAATGATGATCTTCACAAGAATTCTTATAATATTATATATTACAACAACACTATTATGGGGGTGAATGTAAAACTCTACAAATACATTATATTAATTCTTAAAATAAAAGCATATCTCAAAGTAATAATATCATCACTGTAATAATATTATACTTTTAATATTGCTGAAAAGTTTTCACATTTATATGGGGACTTACATTATAATTATTTGAATTAAGAGATAGTTCACCCAAAAATGAAAATTCTGTCATCATTTAGTCATTCTGCAGATCACAAAAGAAGATATTTTGAAGAATGTTGGCATCAAAACAGAACATTGACTTCCACTGTATGAAAAAAATCTTCTTTTATGTTCCACAGAAGAAAGAAAGTCATACAGGTTTGGAAAGACATGGAGGTAAATTATATGGATTTTTCAAACCTTTAAATCCTTTTAATAAAATATGTTGCTAGCTGAATAAAAAACATCCTTGAGCTACATGCTTTAGTGGAATAATGTTCATTATGTGATTTAAAGATGACATTTTTCAATTCACATTCAATTCGTACAGTTTTTAATTTCATAACTACAGTTAAATTCCAACCTTACAGTCTTGATCAGATCTTTTATGGAAGTTGCTGGCAAAAGGGTGAACCTTTCAATCATGTTAAATTTTAATCATCAACCTGGAGATTAAATAGTAAAAAAATAGTTTGAATTCAAAGATTCAATCAAAACTCACCAGACTAAAATCTAGAACAATGCTGAACATAAAAAACCTTATTACATTTTTATTTAAATAAATCTTTAAACTGAAATCTATCTAATCTTCAATGTACACGTATTAAATATTACATATTAAAGGGGTCATATGATGCTATTTTAAAGATCACTGTTTTGTGTATTTGATGTGAATGTTAAAAAAACACATTCTTTTTCAAATACTGTACATTATAGTAGGTCCTCTATGCCCCGCCTCTCTCAAACGCGTCGTGCACAGCCAGCCTTGTACTCGTCCATAAAATGCGTTGCACAAATTCGAACATCTGGGTTGTGCTGTTCTGTTGTAAATAAATCTTAATCAATGGTTCCTAATTGCATCTACTTCCGGAAGACCAAATAAAGTGCTTTTGCTTTCGCACTGAAACCGACTGAAACACAGCGTCTCCCTGACATGGCTGCATCAACACGACTGCTGTTCCTGAAACCACGCCTTCTTTCTTTGCGTGAACATTTGGGCGGCATTATGCTAATATTTCCACATAGTGACGTAGACATGTGGGGGTGTGTTAGAACGAGCCGTTTTAGGTAGGCGTGGCTGACTCTTAACTTTTATAAAGAATATCTCTTTGGATTTGAGACTTTAGTCTTTGCAACTTTACAGATCTTCTTTATGCACCAAGAGCTTGTAACACTCCAAAGAGAAAGGAAAACTTGAAATCGCATCATATGACCCCTTTAAAATCACAATTTTATCAGTGCTGGCAGTTGTATTTCTCACCATCGTTGTCAATGGTGAAAGGGACGTTTGGCGTGATGATGTCATAGAAGCAGATCTGGCTGTACTGAGGTGAGCAGTCGGCATCAACGGCTTCCACCCGCACAATACGATCAAACAGACGACCCTCGGGCACCGATGCCTCATACCGACGCTCCACAAAGACAGGAGAGAACTCGTTCACATCGTTTACACGGACGTGCACAGTGGCCCTGGGAACAGTGGGTTAAGAGTGTAAGAATGCAACGGGTGTTGCATAAATTAGCAGAAACCAGATTTTTAGGAAAATTCCATCTGAATAGAAGAAATCTCTTACTTGTGAGACTTCTTGCTGTTGGTCCCGTCAGGACCTTCACCGCAGTCATACGCCTGAATGGTGAAGCTGTGCTCCTTCTGGCTTTCACAGTCCAGAGGCTCTTTGGAGCGAACCAGACCTTCTCCAGTAGAGCGATCCAACACCACTGCCTCAAACTGTGCCGAGCCAGAACCACCTGGTCCGTTATGAACCCGAAACCCACAGATCTCCCCTGAAAAGAGAATAATACATCTGCATTGACTACATTTGAATAAAATATATTTTGTGTGTGACAACCTTTGTACAAATCCTAATTTAAAGTGCCATTTACTACACAAGTAAAAAAAAAATATATATATTTTTTTATGTGAAATGATGTGAAAAGGGCTGCTGAGTGCTCTTCTGGAAGTAAACACTTGTCTGCGTTCAGGAAATGCTGTCACACATGACACGGCACTGTGAATGTAAACTCAGCCTGCAGAGGGGGAGGTCTGTCAGCTGTAATCCCTGTGTAATTTGTGTAAACATAACATGTAATTACCGTAGTACTAAACTAGCTGCTAGAAGCTCCAAAGCTGCCCCCTCCCCTTCAAAATAACCCTTACACCAAACCCTTGACTAGACCCTGTCAGTTGGAAATACACTAATATTAAATGCATAATTAGTTTTTCCTTTTCACACTTGAGGCATAAGAGGTTATATTTACTATATTTACTGACTAAAGGTCACATTTATCACTGTTCAGCTAATTTTCACCAGTCATTTCAATAGGAATCCATGCAATCAGGAATTTAGAATTTAGCATCAGGGTGAAAAATTTCACCGAGCAGATTTCACAGCGGTTTCAAGTTGGTCACGTGATTCACTGCGTTAACCAACAGAAAGCTGTTTTGTTTGAAAGTGATTTCTGTGTGAGCTGTGCTTCATACACTACTGATCATAGACAATAATCCTGAACACAACACAGCATAATCGCAATGCATAAAGGTGAAAACTGGAAATACCCTACTATTAAATCCACAATTAGTCCTTTAGTTCCTTTTCACACTGGAAGTGTAAAGGGTTATATTTACCGACCAAGACACAGTTGTTTGGCAAATTTTCACTGGCAAAATTCAAGCATTTCAATAGGAATCCATGCAAATGGGAATTTCACGTGAGGGCGAAAGATTTCCCCATACATGGTTTCAAGTTTGTCATGCTTCATACACTCTAAAAAATGCTGGGAAAATGCTGGGTTACCCAGCAGTTGGGTCAAAACAACCCAATAGCTGGGTTTGTCCCTTTTTAACCCAGCACTGGGTTATATTTAACCCAGCATTTTTAGAGTGTACATAACTTCACTATTGACAATAGACAATATACCTCAATTTTATAATCGCACCTAAATTTGCTTATTCACCATAGCATGACTATAAATATGTGGTCACATTAACTCAATTTCAGATAAATTTTGCAGACAAATAAGATCATTTGTCTACAGACCTTAATCAGGGTAGCACCATAATTAAATTTTTTATGAGTCTATGAGGAATAGGAGTATAGTGCGTTCAATGAATTTTACTGTTATTTAACAAACCAAGCAGCTTTCTGTTGGTCAATGCAGCAAATTAGCATGACCACCTGAACCTGATGAGAAATCTGGGGAAATCTTTAGTCCTCACACGAAATTACTAATTGAGTGTATTCCTATTGAAATGACTTATATTGAAGTGGTTAATGTGACTGCACCTCAACACGTAAAGGTGCGACATTATCAGCATGTTTACCCGCATAGTGCAGCGGTGCGTCTTTATCCAGGGCGAACAGAGGTGGGTTGAGGAGGACAGTGTTGTCGTTTTCCATGACGATCCCTTGGTACTCTGTTTCGATCCATGGCTTGTGTTTATTGGCTGAGAAAGAACAATCACAAAAGCAAGGGACAGGTGTGAGAGCTACAAGAACAATCTGTGATTCAGAACAAACAGCTTTTTTTTTAACAAGGCTATTTATAACACGCCGTTATGAAGGTGAGTGAGCAGAGGTTCAAAGATGAACACAAGCAGTACAAGCCGAAGGAATTTGCAACAGATAAAAAAATCATGCTAAAATACGTTAGTGGCAGATGGTGCAATGGTTCGGCCAGCTGTACATATGCATAACACTTGCACATTAAGTTACAAACATACCCATATGGGGATAGACCGAAACTGTGTGATGGACACACAAAACATAAACACACACACAGCACGCCACACCTCGCTGCTTTGCAGAGTAATTAGGTGTAGAGATGTTTGGCCTGATCGCACACAGAGAGGTATATTGCACCTATCGCTCAAATACAGACAGACAGTTTCTCTTAAAATGCTTGGAGAAAGACCAAACCGTGCAAACCTACATTAAACACCCTAAAAAATGAGAAATCTTCAACAATAAGGCTGGCCCACTGGCCCGGGGTCTTTCTGGCTGGTGCTGCATTGCCACTGAAAATGTAACATTCATTAACTTACATTCAATTTATATGCCTTGCAACTTAAACATTTGGTTTTCTGTGATGTATTTTTGCTGCAGATTCTGCTGCTTTGTCACTAAGATAACGTTATCTAGCTGGCTAACATAGAGGAGGCTTTGTCAAATTTGTAAAAAATTATTCCTGATAGTCTTAAGAACATAAGTATGTGTTGGAAACTGCAAACCAATCATATTGTGATTTGTATGCCATGTGTTTTCCAGTGTGTTTTATTTATGGAGTTACATTAAAGCTGTTTCATTTCAAGAAAATTTGTTCAAAAGTTTGGGGTCATTAAAAAAAAAGAAGCTTTTACTCAGCACGTAGCCTACACATTAAAAATCTTACCGACCTCATACATTTGAATGGAACTTTATATTTATATGTTAAATATCAGTATGAGTGTTAAAAACGTCAATTTAATGAACAATTTATATTTTAAAAATATATAAATATTTCTAGCAAATATGTATTGCTAAAAAATAAAAAGCAATCATTCTTTTGCTGTGGTGCCAAGTAGAAGTGTTGGAAAGGCAAGTAAAAATCGTAACAACTTTATTACTGAGCCCTGCTTCATAAAAATGACTTAAAACTCTGGTCATATGATACTAGTACTAGAGAGTGTGCTGACCACTAACTCAATGCACCAATCTATTTAATGTGTGGCTACATGCTGACCACCTCCTTCTCATATTTCAAGTCAGTCTGTCTTTTTTTGCCATTTATCTACCTATCCCTCTCTCCCACCCACCCACGCCCGCGTTCCTCCCTCTCATCCCTCACTCAGCCATATAACATTAATCTGAGCATCAGACCACTGGATTACTCCTCGGATTACAGAGTGAGAGACAACGCTGTGCATCTCACTCCATTTATCACACGTGCCACTTTCACACACTGACCAGAGCATTTTGAATGACTCTGTCAACAGCTGTGACAGAGGATAGACAGAAAGAGCAATGCATGTCTGTGATCACATACGGAGAAACGTTAGCCGTAAATTAAGAAATATCGCATCTCCGGTTTCCCACGTGTCTAAAAATAGCAGAGACGAGAATAGATAAGCTTTCACCCTTTTCTTCAAGGACAAGAGTCGACCTCTCACTCCCCCTTTCTTTCTCACAGATATCCTACAGCATATATATCAGCATCCTTTCTGTCCTTCGCCAAATTTTGCTCTCCACCCAGTTAGTCTGTCCTCAGCTTTCATCTATTCGTTCTTATCTTCCTGCGTGTGATTCCATCTTTTCACATATTTTCATCATGTTGTCTCTTCCCATGTCACCTTGAGATGTGGCCTACCTTTTGAGATCTCTACAAAATCTGCTGTTGTCATTCATACAGGAGGCATATATTTAATAACTGATTTCATAATTAACACCCATAATACAGCACAACGAACTGAGCTTCTGGTTTGAATGAACTGAATGTGCCAGAGCTGCGAACAGAAATGTTAATACACTCATTCACACTTAATCATCAACACAATGCTCAATATCAACATTCAAAAGGATGGAGGAGACTGACCTTTGTTGCCATGGGCAACCGAAGTCAAGCAAAAGAGGAGAAGGGAGAGAAAACTCATTCTGGCCATCTGAGGGAGGAAGGAGGGGAAGGGCAGAGGGAAATAACATGCATTAACCTGATACGAAGCAGTTTAAGATAGAGGACAGAGGAGAAACAGATAAGCGCAGAGACAGAGACAGACATATTTCCTTGCCAGCATTTCCTTAAACGTAAACATTAAGACAAATACTCCGCTCTATAGGTAAATGTGAATATTAGGCTATATATAATACCCTTGCCATCATTTTCGTGGCCTAGTATGGCCGAGGACGTCTGGCTCACATTTCAGATACAGTATGTCGGCTATTATATATCCCGTATTTACTCACTCAATAAAACCTTACTTCAACACTCAATAAAACCTTCGTATTCAGCGAACTGAGTGCGCGTGAAACTGAGCAGTCCGCGCATCCTCGCTCACACGCGCATGCAGGTGTATCCTCGCGGATATCATCACAGGCAGGTTTGTTAACACAGAATATCAAACGCGATTCATGACGCTTGACCTCGAATAATTTATAAAGGCTATATGTCATTTACTTACATTAGTATTTTATATGAAGATTAAAATCTTCCAACTTGGATGACGGACAGCGTGATATAACCTACTGGTGTTTACAACGCGTTATTCAAATGACCGGTGTTATATGTGTTATAGCCCACTCATATACGCGACAAACATGAATCGATTTTTAAGCCTGTAACGTTAAATAGATTCCAATACCACCATATCATAACATTTACAAGCAGTTTAGATAGCATACCACCTGTGTTAAGCGCAAGAATTGAATTAGAACTATTACGTTGGGATCAGATGTACGTTACCGTGAGGTGTGAGATGGTACCCCGCTCAGTCTCCTCTAAGCATCCGTCACACACTCACGCCTATGACAGCCTGATGCCCGCCGACACACCGAACGCAACGGGGGGAGCGCTGGGGCCTCCGGTGCCTCCCGAAATGATTCGAACTGTGAAAAGGAGCGAAACTGGAATTTGAAGATTAGATACGAAGAAAGAACTGAGCTTCTGGTTTGAATGAACTGAATGTGCCAGAGCTGCGAACAGAAATGTTAATACACTCATTCACACTTAATCATCAACACAATGCTCAATATCAACATTCAAAAGGATGGAGGAGACTGACCTTTGTTGCCATGGGCAACCGAAGTCAAGCAAAAGAGGAGAAGGGAGAGAAAACTCATTCTGGCCATCTGAGGGAGGAAGGAGGGGAAGGGCAGAGGGAAATAACATGCATTAACCTGATACGAAGCAGTTTAAGATAGAGGACAGAGGAGAAACAGATAAGCGCAGAGACAGAGACAGACATATTTCCTTGCCAGCATTTCCTTAAACGTAAACATTAAGACAAATACTCCGCTCTATAGGTAAATGTGAATATTAGGCTATATATAATACCCTTGCCATCATTTTCGTGGCCTAGTATGGCCGAGGACGTCTGGCTCACATTTCAGATACAGTATGTCGGCTATTATATATCCCGTATTTACTCACTCAATAAAACCTTACTTCAACACTCAATAAAACCTTCGTATTCAGCGAACTGAGTGCGCGTGAAACTGAGCAGTCCGCGCATCCTCGCTCACACGCGCATGCAGGTGTATCCTCGCGGATATCATCACAGGCAGGTTTGTTAACACAGAATATCAAACGCGATTCATGACGCTTGACCTCGAATAATTTATAAAGGCTATATGTCATTTACTTACATTAGTATTTTTATATGAAGATTAAAATCTTCCAACTTGGATGACGGACAGCGTGATATAACCTACTGGTGTTTACAACGCGTTATTCAAATGACCGGTGCTATATGTGTTATAGCCCACTCATATACGCGACAAACATGAATCGATTTTTAAGCCTGTAACGTTAAATAGATTCCAATACCACCATATCATAACATTTACAAGCAGTTTAGATAGCATACCACCTGTGTTAAGCGCAAGAATTGAATTAGAACTATTACGTTGGGATCAGATGTACGTTACCGTGAGGTGTGAGATGGTACCCCGCTCAGTCTCCTCTAAGCATCCGTCACACACTCACGCCTATGACAGCCTGATGCCCGCCGACACAGCGAACGCAACGGGTGGAGCGCGGGGGCCTCCGGTGCCTCCCGAAATGATTCGAACTGTGAAAAGGAGCGAAACTGGAATTTGAAGATTGGATACGAAGAAACCAAATTAGTATTTTATATGAAGATTAAAATCTTCCAACTTGGATGACGGACAGCGTGATATAACCTACTGGTGTTTACAACGCGTTATTCAAATGACCGGTGTTATATGTGTTATAGCCCACTCATATACGCGACAAACATGAATCGATTTTTAAGCCTGTAACGTTAAATAGATTCCAATACCACCATATCATAACATTTACAAGCAGTTTAGATAGCATACCACCTGTGTTAAGCGCAAGAATTGAATTAGAACTATTACGTTGGGATCAGATGTACGTTACCGTGAGGTGTGAGATGGTACCCCGCTCAGTCTCCTCTAAGCATCCGTCACACACTCACGCCTATGACAGCCTGATGCCCGCCGACACACCGAACGCAACGGGGGGAGCGCTGGGGCCTCCGGTGCCTCCCGAAATGATTCGAACTGTGAAAAGGAGCGAAACTGGAATTTGAAGATTAGATACGAAGAAACCAGTGTCCCCGTTGTCGGTGGATGCCGTGAGAGAGAGAAAAGAGACGGGGTGGTATCTCCTCCCTCTCGCAGTTTCTTAACCCGCCCACACTGCGTCTCTCTCGCTCTCAGGACTCGTCCCCGGTGAAACGCAAATTTACAAATCCTACTGCGGCGAAGGCTTGCTCGTTAATATTCATTAACCAACCCTCCGCCATTGGAAGGTTCGGCCGTACCTAATTAATATTCATTAGCCAGGCAGTGTCTATTGGAGGGCAGTAAAGAATGGATAATATGCAACAACCAAATCGTTGCTACAAGAAGCTACCATATTAACATAACCTGCTTAATATTAATGAGCTAAGCAGTGCTCATAGTATTTGTTCCTTCGGATTAGCGATCCCTAAATCAGCGAGATGGCTGTCTGTGATACATCTGGCTTGGAGGGAAGCATCTGGAAGCTGGTGTATACTCCCACACATTTATTTCCCACTTGGAGATTATAATGAATGTCATTTGTGAATGCGCTTGAACTCCTCACTAACACAATCTGTGCTTCAGCTCTAGGGCCCAGACTGCAAGATGACGTCATATCAGCTCCCACAGCAGACAGATATAAAACCCTGACACCACAATCCAAAAACACCAGAACACACCTGAGCAGACTTTGTTCAAATCCAGCATTTTTAATGAATATTACAAAAACAGCTTTATTTAAAAGTAATTTTCTCTCTCACACTCACTTTTTTTGTACATTTGGTAGCAGTAAGGCAGAAGTAGTTGTTTCCCAAAAACAATTTTTACATCAATAATATTTGCAACCACATGTATAAATATTATAAAACAACTCTGATGCTACAGTGAGCCTCTGCTCCCTTGGATTGAATCTGGGTGCAGGTTTTAGCCCTCACTGAAGAGTGATGTATATTTGTGCCAAGGATCTTCAATATGTCATGTCATACAAAACAGATATGAAGGCAAATATGCGTAAGAATTACTAAGAGCAGATCGCAATGAAAAAACGATCCTGATGTGCGATGAGAAATACACACTGACACTTTTTAAGGATTTTACACAGCATAACACAGCAGTTTTAATAGTGCCATTAGTGCACAGATTAGTTGATTGCTCACTAAACTACTTGTTAAAATTTAAATACTCTGCTCTTAATAATACTGACACAAATTTACCATCATATTCATGATTCTGGTTAGTAGTGTTAATGTTACTGTGGTTTCTGTTTTGCTTGTGCTCACACACTGGACAAAAAGATTTGCTGGAGAAAATGGAGTGAACAGGAAAAGGTCAGATGGATAGATAGATGGACAGTGTTAAATGGAGTGAGAGGATGAGATGACAGAATGATGATCCTTTTTATTAAAGTGTCGAAAATGCTATAAAAAATTTAGTTACCATAAAACCCATTCCTAAAAAAGAAGAATCCCCATCAGAAGTAGTCTGATCACAAGAAAGAAGAAGAAAAGAAAAAAAAAAAGTTTATAAAAATGAAAAACATTCATTTACAATGACAGGCGATGCTGTGTCACCATTCACTCTTTTGTTTGCTTCACATTTCATTGTCTTTTAAGGGTAAGTGAGGTTGAAATATTCCTAGCAAAGGAAAATAAAACACATCTCATTTGTTTCCATCAGCCAAAAGCCAGTTCTCTGACGAGACAGGAAACAGTCATGAGTAATGAGTGCAATGGTATGAGCAGATACAGTATAACTATTTTGAGTCACCAAACATCAGTAAATCTTATTTAACAAATAATGAACCTTAGAAAAGCTTGTATTTCTCCAGCTTTCAAACTTTTTCATTATAGTCCACCACAACTCCCAAAGAATGAGAAAAACTTTCCATCGGACTAACATTTGTACACATACACCAGTGCTTGATGTAAATAGTAATATATTACTAAAGACCTTAAAATTTGTCATCTTCAGGTGCTCTTTAAGTCACAGTTCACTTCAGTCAAACTTAGACAGCTGCAAACAAACCTGTGTAAGAAAAAGAGGGGAAAAAAGGCTGATCATTTTACATCTTCACAGTCACATCTAAAGCACTTTCAGTAAGAGATTGCTAAAGAATCTGCTTCGTCGATTATTCAAAAAACACTTGGATGACAGGAGAAATCTCAAATTAAAAGTAAATGTGGTGCAAACAAATAAACAGACATTCTACAAAGACCTGGATGAATGAAACACTGCGGCAGAGCCAGTGAAAAGCTTTGTGAGACAGAGGGATGATACATTTTTCCTGCTGGAATTAAATGGCTCATGGTCACACTGATCCTAACTGAATCGTAAGTCATGATCTAATGAAATATGATTATGCTTCTTATAAGTCCTCCTGGGAAAATACATGTTCAAAAGCTGTAATCAAGATGTGGGTTCAAGTGATTTGCATCAGAATGAAAAAAGAAAAAAAAACATGGTAACTGCATCCCTCTTTGCCACTACCAGGAGTTTTTTTTTAGTGCTAGTGGAATTAAAGAAAGATGTGCATCGTGTACACAATTTTCTCGCACTTTTAGATATTTACCTTTATCTTAACTTTAACCAAACTACACAAAATAATTACAAACTTAACTGTATTTATCATTAGGTTCTGCTCAAAACATCATGTTTCAGGTAAGATCAAAATTCAATAATACTTGCAAGGTTTGAAAGAACAGTGTGTTGATTTTTTCATGCTTTTGTTTAAATTTTAAAATGTATGACTTTTTTTTGCACATGCAGTAACATAGATAAAGTGACATACATTACCGTTCAAAAGTTTGGGGTCATTTATAATTTATAATCAATCTCAAATAAATGCTTTTTATTCATCAAGGAAAAACTATCATGGTTTTCACAAAAATATTAGGCAGCACAGCCGTTTCAACATTAATAATAATAAGAAATGCTTCTTGAACACCAATTTCTGTGATCTTTAAGACTGGATCACACGAAATGATAATCATAAATATAAACAGGCCAAAGAATATTTTGAGTTTCCAACTGGTGATTAAGACGTTGTGAAGGTGCTTATAAGAGTACTGAATATGACCTGAAGGCAGCTTTAGATTCCACTGCTGCCGAGAACACAGGAAAGAATAGATATGACACACTCACAGACAGGTGGCACAAACAGTAGAGTTTAGAAAAGACAGATGCTAAATTTACCATTTTAATTAATCCTCCTTTTTCTCATTGCCTCTTTTTCGAGGCACGAACACCTTGCGGAGGTATGGCAGGACAAGAAAGGCAAAGAAGAAAAATATGTGTCCACAGAAATATATCGAGGAGTAAACCTGGAAAACAAAAAAGGTTCAAAATGTAAATGACACTTGCAACACTTTACAATATGGATGGATACAGGAGGTAAGGATCATGGACATCCCACATCCAGCATCAGATTCATGACTAACAGACCCCTGAGGAGTAAGTACACACCTTGAGCCACTTGTCGTAAGTGAAGAGGCAGAATGGCACCAGAGGGTATCCCATAAATAGCCAGTGAATTAACTGCTGTACTACATATACAAATGGATACAGATGACTCTGAGCGATAGATGCCAGCAAAGGACTGTCCCGCACCAGTGACTGAGCCTGCAAAAATATTTACAAAAGAGTTGAATTACTTTTATCTACTTTCTAAAGCCTTTGTCTAATGGCACGTGTCCACTGTTGCAGAGGAAATGCTCAATATGCTATTCAAGTTGTATAAATTAACATTACCTTATGCATTAAGAATAAACATGAATTAACAATGGTTCACATTTCCAGGGTTCTCAGAAACAAAAGTCGTCATTGTTGGGTAAACTTCTGTAGTGGTGAACAAAACTGAAACAAACATATTTTTTGGTGTTCTCATTTGCCTCAATAGCAATTGAAAATCCACGGTAGTGTTTCTATGATTTTTCCTAAATAAATAAATAAACAAATAAATATTGAGAGATTGTATAGTATTTATTTATTATAGATTGTATAGTACATTTATAACAGAAGTAAAATGTAACTTATCATCACAGTCTGTGAAAAGGGTCCATTAACATTAACCTAGATTAATAAATGCTGTTAAAATGTTGCTTGCTTTGCTCCTTTGTCAAATTCCCTGTATGAGCCTGTCACGCAGTTCCCATAAAATATCAAGTGAAAGCACTTCACTCCACTCACTCCGCACTGGTGGACACATACCGCACGTAAACATGCACAATGTTTCAATCTCGCCTAGAGCCAGAGTTCCCTGAACAATATTACATTTCTACTTGTTTTCTTTTTCTCCTGAGAAGGTTAATGATCAAGCTGTACCATCAGCATTCATCAAAACAATGTGTTTTGGCTCAGACAGGAACCGTCATTTGTAAACATCCCATTGACTTTCATTTAATGTCTACTGATGTCTCACATTTTCTGATGTGAGCACTATTTGTAATTTTCAAAATAGGACTACAAGGGTGAGATGCTTCCTCACATACTCACAGCTGTCTGCAACCTGTAAGATTGTATTTTACAAGCCAACTACTTGCAACAACTGCAACTGCCATTCTTAAGTACCATACTGTCATTGCCAGCTGAATCTCACCATCTGTTTCCAAATATGAAAATGCAGTTTATAGTATCTCAATCGCTCATGTCAATGACTGCACCTTTTTATATACACACTGCTGTTCAAAAGTTTGGTTTGATTTTTTTTTTTTAAGAAGTTAACACTTTTATTCAGAAAGAATGCATTACATTTATCAGCAAAGTGACATTGAAGACGTGTATACAACGTTATAAAATATTTCCATTTCAAATAAATGTTGTTCTTCTGAACTTTCTATTCAAAGAATCCTGAATAAAAATGCATAATGGTTTCCACGGTAATATTAAGCAGCACAGCTGTTTTCAAAATGGATAAGAAATGTTTCTTAAGCAGAAAATCAGCATATTAGAAGGATTTCTGAAGGATCGTGTAACACTGACTGGAGTAATGATGCTGAAAATTCAGCTTCAAAACTGGATAACTTATTTTTCAAAGAAATAAATTATATTTCTCACATTAAAATAGAAAAGTTATTTTAGATTGTAATAATATTTCACAACATTGTTTTTACTGTATCTTTAACAAAATAAATGGAGCCGTGGTGAGCATAAGAGACTTCTTAAGAGACTTTAAAAATCTTTCCAACCCACTTATGAACGGTATTGTGTTTGTGTATGTGTATATATACTCTGTGTAAGCTGTTCAAGATTAATTTAATATTTGATAACCTTACTATTGATCTATAAGGATCCTAGAATGCAGTTTGTTTCACTCCATCACTTACATAAGAGCAAGACTATTATTTCAAATCATTCTCAGTGAGTTACTAAACTCAGAAACACTGTATCTTCAAAGCTGTAAACTTTCAGATCTGCCTTCAGTTGGCATGAAAGTAAGTGACTCAAAGACTTTAGTCATCTCGATTCTAAACAACTTCAAGCCTCATGTCTGGTAAAGCAATGTTGCCATGGTTACCTGCTTCTCCACATTGACAATGATGAACTCCAAGGAGAAGCAGATGAGGTACCCTGAGTGCAAGCCGTGCCAGATCGCCAGGAATAACAATGTGAACATTTGAGATAACAACTTGTTACCCAAAAACTTCAACCTCTTAAACACGTGCCTGTACCGAAGAAGGGGGTGGAAAGAAAAGAGAAATTGAGAGAAAATTAATTGACACAAACATAAAAAAAATAATTTTTTTGCAATAAATCTTGATTGCAATAAATGTCACATTTATAAAAGCATGTGCATACCTGGCCACCCAAGCATTTGTGTTGATGTTGAAGGAATTGATGGTGCCTGTGAAGAGGGGTGTGGTCTCAAATAGCCACACCCTCACATTTGCGCAGGCATCCCATTGGTGCTCCCCTTTTTCGTTCTTCCCATTGTAGCCCAGCCCAGAGAGTACACACACACCTTCCTATATATATATATATATGAATATAAACATGAGAGAGAAATTTGCATTCAGTGATTCCTTACAAAAATCTTACAAAAGATTTACAGTGAAAGCTACAGTGGCCCCAAAAAGCATTTGTGTTGACTTGTTATCTTTTACTAATATTTAAATTTGTTTGATGATCTGAAACATTAAAGTGTGACAAACATGCAAAAAAATAAGAAATCAGTCACACTTTTTCACGCCGCTGTATTAAAAAAAAAAAATCATAATATTTTGTTTTAAATGATAAAACAGCAGACTGTTCAAAATTAAGGTTTTAATTTAAATGTCATTTTTTTTCCACACACACACACAAATATATATACACACACAGTATATAGTATATATACAGTATATAAATATTAATTATTTTTATCCAATGTAATTACATTCAGACATTTTAAGTTTGGCTTTTTTGGGTTACTGAATGTCAAAGAAAAATTCTAGGACAAAGAAAGGACTGTTTCCTTTACACACACCTATACATCACAATCTATAGATCGTTTTAAGCCAGAAAACCTGTTCAACGTCCCCGCAACCTGAACAGGTTTGGCTAGATTTGCACTTCTAGTAGTCAGATTCACATTCTCAGCTAGAAAAAGAAGGCCACGTCTTGTCTGTAATTGCCTTGTTACACAGCTAACACCTCTCTAAGAAGATAATAAAGATACATTGACAGGGTTCACAGCATGAAACGAAATGACTCTCAATTACCGCTAGTGTGCTCTTAATAGGGGATTTGGGTCGTGCTGTTTACTCACCGTGATTAGCCAGCAGCTGATGTACTTATACAGGTTTATTTTCACCCACACTAAGATGTACACACACTTATACCAGAATGGATGTGCCTGAATCACAGATCAAAACAAATGATAAGAAGAAATAAATCACTTCCAAAGAATTATGAAAAGTCAAGGCTTTCATTTTAAACATGTGATGTTTACTTACAATTCATTAGAAACAAGTCAATAAATTAATTATACATCTTCTTTTTGGGGATTGAAGATAAATTGGCAGTTATTCACTTTAAGATGTTATTTACAATGATTTGTAAGATTCTAAAATTCTTCAATTAGAAAGTTTTTTCTTAAGAAAAAATATAAGAACATTTTAAGTTTTTCTCTCAAGCAGTTCAGAAGAATTTTTAGTTCTTAATCATGTTTTGTAAATCTGGCCAGTAAGCAAATGATTTCTGTAAGTGTCTCTAGAAAGAGACTCAAATAACGATCGAATTGATTAAATTAACAATTAAATATGATGATCTCCTTGCAAGGGACCCCCTTCTTAAGAAATAAAGACAACTACATATATTTGGCATACAGACCCATTTATGTTTGAGAAACATGGTGTGATATTACTGTATAAAAACAATATGTTCTGTTCAGTTCAAAATTCAAAAACATGATTTAAAATTTGGATTATATGTAACATGTTTAGAATGATATTCTCAAAAGTATGATTATATGTAATATGTATAGAATTAATGATATTCTCAAAAGTAATGATACTGCACAAGTCAAAAGAAATTATTAAAATTTGCTTGAATGCTTGCTGAAATGTATTAACTGACATTTGATAAGCTAAACAGATAAAATGAATACAACTGAGTGTCGGTTACACATGAACAGCCCTAACAATGAATAATTTTCAACATTTTTCACTCTTTGTGTGAACTCATTTTAACTCCCTCCTCTGCAGCATTCAAAATGCAGTTAATTGACTTGCAGCAACTGTTTCCCATTTCCAAGAATATATAAATAGCTGCCAAGACTGTAACTGACAGACTTAAAGAGCGCTCTCACTCAGACCGGGAGCTTTCTGTGACATCAGGACCACATTAAAAAGATCCCAGCACAAAAACAAGTGGCAGCTCACGAGATCCAGGTACAAGGCTGTTAACAACCTAAATACTAAATTGTGATTTTGTGACTCTGTCTACGTTCAGTCCCAATCCACTGATTCACTTACCTCGAATTCATCTGTTAAGAAGTAGCTATCTGAGTAGTGCAGCCCACCTATCGTAAAGATTGTTAGGGTGATCAGACCTAAACCAAATCGCTTCATTGCTGGAACCACACTGCAAAAAGAGGAAACATTTGTTAGATTAAATTGTTACTTAACAGAGGACTGTAAGTATTATAATGGGCCTTAACAGTATAGGTTAGGTTGTGGTCAAAACAGTGCTGCCTAAATCTTGTTCACACTGACAATAACTTGCATTTGCTACCAAACATATCATTCATTTTTAATTTCCAGCAACAGCAACAATTGGAGTCGTGATATGGGTGCACCCGGGAATTCAACAAAGATCAGAAAAGCTTAACTTTACGCAAATGAGAAGAGACGCTCTGTGGCGACTAACAATGGGAGCAAAGACTGTTATTTTTCTGCATAATGTTATTGAGCATGGTTTCACTGTTCTATATGATTTGTCTCTGCTCACATACAGGGATATAATAAAAAAGAAAAGATGTCTGGAAAAGCGTGTCAAAAACTGTCTGCATTTTGATTGACTTTTCATGCATTGATAATCATTTATCTTCCTCATGATATGATCCATTATGCACTGCTGCAATTCATAGACAAACAAAAAAATACAGAATATTCATTTTCAGCAGTAAGAAAACAAATTTATTTTCAAAATTAAATGCTATCTTATTTCTACAAGAAATATATCTCATTTGTAATTATATTTTCTAACTCTAGGGCCAGTTGTGCAGCCGGCCAATAACATCAGAGCATCCAGGGCCTATATGAATGTCTATAGCATAATGAATAAAGATTAAAAAAAAAAAAGATTAGGCACGTTGAAAGAGCAAGTAAGTTACTAAGACTTGTTCATAATCACAGTGTCCTTGAGCAAGTAACAAGACAGGAACTGTCCTTGTAATGGACAAATGAATCCTGAAAATACCTTTGGATGAAAAGTGTCCACTAAATGGTAAGAAACAACTGTTGACAAGAGGTAAAATCATTAGTTTGAAAGAATCTGACTGAGATGGGATTGTTAGACTGTGAAATCTTGTGCACTTACCTACTGGGTGGTTGTCCAGGGACATCGGACATCTCTCGAGACACCAGATTCTGGTAGTTTCGTAGTGTGAACTGAGGCCCTACCAGAAAGCCTCCATAGAAGTATGAGAAACCAAAGATCTCCAACAAAGACGGCGTAGAGCTGAGGGCAGACTTCTTCTGTTCTGCACTCATCTGAGACTGTTAGATAAAAGAAAAGGAGTCGATGAATTAAAATAGAGGAGCTGGGAAATTAGAACTGGCTGTAGAAGATAAACTGCACCTAAAAAGATAACAGATATAATTTAAAAGTTTGGGGTTGGTAAGATATTTTGTTTTGTTTTGTTCTTGAAAAACGTCTCTTATGCTCACCAAGGCAGCATTTATTTATATCAAAAACAGTAATATTGTGAAATATTATTGCAATTCAAAATAACTGTTTTCTATTTTAATATTAAAATTATTTTAATATTTTAAAACATAATTTATAAAACGGATAGTTCCTGTCCTTGATTCTGATTGGTTGAGCCGCGTTCAAAGCTGTAGTAAATTACACTACAAACATACAAACAACTGTTTCTGAGGAACTACATGGTTTGGTGGAAGAATACTGTTTTTATTTCACGTTATTTGCTCTGTTTTATTCTGTGAAACCTTACTACGTATATGGAATAACCGTTTTATAAAAGCCCCGAGAAGCCTCCACTCCAATTCGCGTTGTGTCTAACAATGCCCCTTAGCTGTTATAAATTCACTGTAAACCACGGCTTCTTGAGGCTTATTGCTTTACTATTCCTGTGCTTTATTAATTCCATTACTCCAGTCATCAGTGTCACATGATCCCACAGAAGTTGATTTGGTGCTCAAGAAACATCCCTCACTATCAATGTTGAAAACAGTTGTGCTGCTTAATATTTTTGTGGAAACTGTGATCTTTTTATTTTTGATGTTTTGATGAATAGAAAGCTCAAAAGGACAACATTTATTTGAAATACAAATCTATCATAACATTATAAATGTCTTTACTTTCACTTTTGATTAAAGTATTGTTTTCTTTCAAACAGAAAAAAAAACATTTCTTACTGACCCCAAGCTTTTGTACGGTTCACACAGTTTGTTTCTCCAGAACTACTTATGTAGTAAAAAAAAAAAAAAAAAAAAAAAAAAAAAAAAAGGGGGA